TCTTGCAGCAAAAGTTTCTTTACTTGATGTGCTACAAGTGAACTAGGGTCTTTAAAATGTATTTTAGAATTTTTTTTCCAACATGCTTCTTCCCTTGCAACAGGTACCGTTTTGCAGAGATTCGCTACCATCGCCCTGAGGAGACCCACAAGGGGCGTACAGTTCCAGCTCATGTGGAGACAGTGGTTTTATTTTTCCCGGATGTTTGGCATTGCCTTCCCACCCGCTCAGAGTGGGAAACCCTCTCCCGAGGATACAAGCAGCAGCTGGTCGAGAAGCTTCAGGGTGAACGCAAGGAGGCTGATGGAGAACAGGCACTGAACGCTAATCCCTTTTTCTATTTCCGCTTCTCACAGGCACAGGAACACAGGCACAAATGCACACCACACACTACATAACACACACACATGGAGGAACACAGCTGGTAACAGCGACTGGTAATCCAGCTTTCAGCAGTGTAGTTATAGTTTATTTTCTCTTTAAAAATCCTGTCCATTACGCTAACTTTGAAGAGTGCTCAGACCTCAAAGGAAAATAGTTGTGCTTAAATTGCACAGAATTTGGCTTTTATCATAGGTCTAGTTGCTGGAATCTGGGACCAGTTGTTGAGCAAGACTCAGTATTAAGCCATTTTAAACATTTTGCCATTTTCTAAAATTTAAAAAATTTTCTCTTTCACGGTCATCAGTTCTAGTCATGGATATTTGAAATTGGACAACCACAAGTCTGAGAGATTTGAAATTTCAGGCTATGTGGCAACGTCTTTGGTACATTTCAAAGGTCTGCCTAAATCAGTCTTTGGGTGGCTTCAAAATTGGGGCAAGATCACACACTGTGTGGTTAGTGCAGACCGGCAGTGTTTGTGCATCCCTGATATCCTTTGTGTTGTAATTTATCACCCTTTTGTGTTTCACAGATCTGGCTTTGATTGGCTGATGAGTGTCTTTGTGATCAGTTAAAAGTGGTAGAATGTATGTATGTGAACTTGCCTAAATGATAACTTTAGGAGAAGACAATCTGAAACATTTGTGACCTTGCACAGATCAGCAACAGACTTTTAAAAAATAAATTACTTTTATTTTAAAGTTTCAGGATAATAACTATGTTCTTAACTTTGTATGTTAGGATGAAGAGGAGAAAGATGATGGTGAGGCTAAGGAAATTTCCACTCCAACCCACTGGTCTAAACTTGATCCAAAGACAATGAAGGTAACTTCAGAAGTGATGATTTCTTTTCTTTCCTAAGATTTATTTATTTTTATTGAAAAGGCAGATTTATAGAAATACATCCTACACCCATGTGGGAGACCCAGAAGTGGTGCCAGGCTCCTGGCTTCAGATTAGCTCAGCTCTGGCCGTTGTGGCCACTTGGGGATTAAATCAGCAGACAGAAGATCTTCCTCTCTGTCTCTCTGACTTTCCAATAAAAATAAATATAAAAGAAAGAAATAGAGAAAGAGAAAGATTTTTTTTTTTAATTTGCAAGAGTGATGAAGGAGAAATTTTTCATTGGGTTATACTCCCAAATGCCCTTTTCCGTTTTTTTTGTTTGTTTGTTTGTTTTTAAAGATTTATTTTTATTATTTTTTTATTGGAAAGGCGGATATACAGAGAGGAGAGAGAGAGAGGAAGATCTTCCGTCCGATGATTCACTCCCCAAGTGAGCGCAACGGGCCGATCCTATGCCGATCCGAAGCCAGGAGCCTCTTCTGGGTCTCCCACGCGGGTGCAGGGTTCCAAAGCTTTGGGCCGTCCTCGACTGCCTTTCCGGGCCACAGGCAGGGAGCTGGAAGGGAAGTGGGGCTGCCGGGATTAGAACCGGCGCCCATATGGGATCCCAGGCGTGCAAGGCCAGGACCTTTAACCACTTGCGCCACTGCTCCGGGCCCCCTTTTCCGTTTTTATTTATTGTTTTAAAAAAATGTTTTTTTTTTTTTTAATCTATAGGGTGATGTTAAATAGAAATAAGGAGAGATAGGGAGGTGTTCTGTCTGCTGGCTCATTCCCCAGATGACTTCAACAACAAAGGCTGGGCCACGCTGAAACCCAGAGCTTCTTCCTGTCTTCCTGGGTGCAGAGGCCCAAACACCCGAGTCTTTCTGTGCTGCTTTCCTAGGTGCGTTAGTAGAGAGCCAGATGGGAAGTAGAGCATGTGGGACTTGAACCAACACCAATATGAGATGCCTTGCTTTAGGAGGTGGTTTAACTACTGTGCCATAACCCTGGCCCCAGTTTGTTTATTTATTTGAAAGGCAAAGTGTCATTAAGGAGAGAAAGATCTTCTAGCTGGCTTATAGGAAAAACCAGGAGACTACTGTCCTCTTCTCCCAGTTGGTGCCAGGATCACCAAGTACTTGGCACACCATCTGCAGCTTTCATACTAGCAAGAAACTGAGACAGAAGTGTAGCAGCTGAGATTTAAGCCGTACTTCTGAGAAGGGATGCCAGTATCACAACCTACTGTGCCAAAAGGTTGGCCCAATACACTGATCTTTGAATTTGGAATCTTCATATTTCTGAAGGAAAGCACTAGTATAAACAAATTGATAATTGCTTTTCCCCAAGAATTTAGGATATTTACTTAGAGTCTATGAACAGAAATCAGAATTTATGAACAGAAATCAGAATTACTAGATTCGAATGCTTTTTGTTTTTTTTTTTGTTTTTTTTTTTTAAGGTTTATAGGGCCCACCACAATAGCCTGTTGGCTAAATTCTCACTTTGCTTCCTCTGGGATTCATTTGGGCACTGGTTTGTGTCTTGGCCGCTCCACTTCCTTTCCAGTTTTCTGCTTGTCTTGGGAAAACAGTAGAAGATGGTCCAAGGCCGTGGGACCCTGAGCAGCTGTGTGGGAGACTTGGACTGGCTTTGGATTGACTCACCTCAAACCTTTGCAGACACTCAAGGAATGAACCAGCAGATGAAAGATCTTTCTCTGTACATCTGCCTTTCCAATAAAAGTTTTAAAAAATGTTTTTGTTTATTTGAAAGAGAGGGACATAGGCAGATATTCCATCTGCTGATTGAGTTTTCTGAGTGCCTTAACTGCTAGAACTAGGGATTGCTGAAGCCAGTAGCTTCGTTCAGGTCTCCCATGTGAGTGGCAGGGTCCCAAGTACTTGGGCTATCTTTTGCTGTTTCTCCCAGGCCATTAATAGTGAGCTGGATTAGAAGTGGGGAAGCTGAAATACAAACCAGGACCCCACCTATGGAGTGCGGCACCGTAATAATGGCCCCTAAAACATCTTAAACTATATTACTATATTACAACTATATTAAACTATATTGCAAGCTGGCATTTGGCTCAGTAATTAAGTTCCAGTATGGGATGCCAGTGTCCTGGGTTAGAGTATTTCCTAGCCTGCTTCTGCTGATGCATACCATTGGAGGCAGCAGATGGTGGATGAAGGTCTTGAGTCCCATTACCCCAGCTGAAGCACCCCAGGTGAGGTTCTTTGTTTTGACTTGATGCAGCCCTGTTTGTTTGAACTTTTTGGGCAACTGGCACATGTAAGGTCTCTCTGTTTTCTTATGTGTGTGTGTTTGCCTTTCAGACTAAAAAAAAGTTAAATGCCTTCAAATTGCTTTCTGAATTTTATTATGTTATTTTGTATTTTCATAAGCATTTTGTGTCCATTACAAGTGTCCCTGTCATCAGTTTTTTTTCCAGACTGAGACTGAAGGTGTCTGGTGTTGTGTCACCGTAGTTTAACCTGGCACCTGCAATTCTGGAGTCCCAGATGGACACTGGTTCAAGACCTGACTGCTTATCTCAAATCCAATTCTCTGCATATGTGCTTGGGAAGATAGCAGAAGATAGCCCAAGTGCTTGGGCCTCCACCCAAGTGGGAGACTCAGAAGTTCTGAACTCCTAGTGTTGACCTGGCCCATCTTGGCTGGCTGATAATGGTCACAGAGTGAATCAGTGGATGAAACATTTTTTTCCTGTAATTTTGCCCTTCAAATAAATAAAAAAATTCTAAAAGATAAGAAAAAGATACATTTTTTTTCAGTAATCTCACATTATGTTTTTAATGTTCTGTATGTTTAGGTAAATGATCTCCGAAAAGAACTAGAAAGTCGAACTCTTAGTTCCAAAGGATTAAAATCCCAATTAATAGCCCGGTTAACCAAGCAGCTCAAAGTAGAAGAACAGAAGGAAGAACAGAAGGAATTGGAAAAATCTGAAAAGGAGGAGGAAGAGGAGGATGATAGGAAATCTGAAGATGATAAAGAGGTAAATACCAAGTCATTTAAAAATGGGGGTGTTTATAATGGTGTTTTGGAGCCCTTGCATTGTTTAACTTAAGGGTTTATTTGTGTATCTGTATGCCTTTATTGAAATATAATTTACATGCTGTAAATCCTTTTTAGCAGCAGTTCAAGTTCTGACGATTTACATAATTATCTAACAGCCATTACAAGATATGAAATGGTTTTGTAGAAGCGTCTCAAGAGATTTGGGTCTTATCCCAGAGTTTTGCTGCTTCTAAATTATTGTATTTCATATGAGTCTTATTCCTTAAGACTCAGTTATTTTATGCTTCAGTTTTGTGTCTAGTAGGTTATTGTCATAATATATAAACCTGTCTAGTTCCTGAATTTGAGGTATAGGGATATCTTCGCTGTGTTTTAGTACCAGTGTTAGAATTAAGTGTATTAACATGTATATTCAAATATGTACATTGTACAACATATTTTCATTATTTCCAAGATAGTTTCATTATTTAAAGGTATTTTCAAGGTTTTCCTGCCAGAAGTGTGTATCTTAGATCTGATTTAGAGAAAGCAATTAGATAAGTATGGACTATGAAACGTATAAAGTAGCCTACCTGCTTTTTTAAAATGGCAATTAATGGGAGACAAAATGATTCAGGGCCATAGAGTAAAGGAGGTTAGCGAGATAACCAAGTATACCAAATGAAACTTGACTAGAGGAAGAAGGTACATTTGGAAAGTTCGATTATGGATTTAGATGTGATGTTAGATAATAGAGTAGTCTGCATCCACTGACAGACCTTGAACACTTTGCCATTGTTCCCTTGGTTTGCACTAGGATGCAAAAGAAAAATCCCTGCGCTTTCTGTCTGTCTTTGTGGCAGTCCAGATTGAATTGGGGAATACATTTGAAAATAAATTAAAATAAAATAAAAAATAGTTTTTTCAGATATAAAGGGATAAAAAGATAATATAGAAGTCAGTGTTCGATTTTTTTGGATATGGCAATGGCTCTGCGGTACATGGAATTACCTTGTTCTTTGCAATGTGTATAGCTTCATGATTTCTTATTTGACACAACAGGTGTACGTATTTATTTTGGTGGTAAAATTTGTTTCAAGCTTGGCCACTGGGAACTCCAGTTAATGTGGAGAGTGAACATTTGCTCTGTTAGTTAAAAATCTCAGGATCCTCATCCCATAGCCTAGTGCCACAGTTCAGTTCTCAGGTCCGGCTCCTGAATTAGCTGCTCGGGCCATCGGAGGCAGCAGTGAGGGCCCTGTGGAAGTTGTGCTGGAATGCTTCTTCAGTACTCCCTGCTTCAGCCGTTCAGCCGTTCTTGGGGGAGTGAAACAGTGAATGGAGGTTATCTGTACCTGTTGTGTGTATTTCTCTTTTCCTCTCAAATAAAAAATAAATATAAAGTTACGTGCCTCATGGGTGCAGAGTCCCGAGCGCTTTAGTGCTGGCACTGGAATACAGTCTTCCCAAATGGTCTCTTAGTGTGCTGTGCCGCCATGTCTATGCTGTCAACAGTTATTTTAAATAACTATTAAAATAGTTAAAGCTTTTAAATCATTAAAATATAAGCCATTTAAGCTAAAATGTTTTTGTATATTCTGTTTTTCCCATTTTTATGTCATGCTGTAAGTATATTGACCTAGAGTGTGGTTAATACCTGTTGTATTCAATCATTTAATTTTTATTCTGTAATTATATGTAAAATTTTGTTAGTGTCTTTCTAATTATTTTATCATTGTTAACATCTGTAGTAAATTCCAACAGAAAGAGCTCATGAAAGCCACAGTTAAATTCATCAGTGTTGACAGCAATTTGTGGCCTTTGTACTTGAAAGTCAGTTTTGCTCACTACAAATCTTTGGCTTTTTTTTTTCCTGAAAATATATTTATTTTTATTGGAAAGTGAGATATACATAGAGGAGGAGAGACAGAGAGGAAGATCTTCTGTCTAATGGTTCCCTCCTCAAGTGACCACAATAGTCGGTGCTGTACTGATCTGAAGCCAGGAACCAGAAACTTCTTCTGGGTCTCCCACGTGTGTGCAGGGTCCCAAAGCTTTGGGGCATCCCCGACTGCTTTCCCAGGCCACAAGCAGGGAGCTGGAAGGGAAGCAGGGCTGCCAGGATTAGAATTGGCACCCATATGGGATCCTGGCACACATTCAGGGTGAGGACTTTTAGCCACCAGTCCACGCCGCCAGGCCCTTTTTAAAAATTTTTTTATTGTAAGATTTATTTATTTTTATTACAAAGTCAAATTTATATATAGAGGAGAGACAGAGGAAGGTCTTCCGTCTAATGATTCACTCCCCGAGTAACTGCAATGGCCGGAGCTGTGCCGATCTGAAGCTAGGAGCCAGGAGCATCTTCTAGGTCTCCCAAGTGGGTGCAGGGTCCCGTGGCTTTGGGCCTTCTTGGACTGCTCTCCCAGGCCACAAACAGGAAGCTGGAAAGGAAATGGAGCAGCAGGCTATGAAGTGGCACCACATAGGATCCTGTTGCATGCCAGGCAAGGGCTTTAGCCTCTAGGCTACCATGTTGGGTCCTTCCTCTGCTGCTTTCAAAAGCACATTAGCAGGCAGCTGGATTAGAAGTAAAGAAGCCAGGACTTGAACCAGTGCTTAAAGTGGGCTGCCGTCACTACAAATGGCAGCTTAATCCACCATGTCAGTACATTGTCCCTCTCATGAATATCCAGGAGCTTTTGGCTTTGATGCCTTTGTTGCTTTGTCTTTTTTTTTTTTAAACATTTAATTATTTGAAAGGTAGTGTTCCTTAAAGGCAAAGGTGCTAATGAGAGAGGGCTGTTCCATCTACTGGTTCACTTCCCAAATAGCCACAACAGCCAAGGCTGAGCCAGGGTGAAATGAGGATACCCCACATGATACAGGGGCCCAGGAACCTGGGCCAGCCCTCCCAGGCACAGTGACAGCTGAATTGGAAGTGGAGCAGCTGGGACTGTAACCTGTACCCATATAGGTGCTGTATTGCACGTGACAGCTTAAGCTACTGTACCATAATGCTTTCCCCTTGCTTTGTTTTTATTGTGCTGGCTTATTAGAAATCAAAAATTATGCAGTCATCACTTTTTTAAAAATCCTTCTTTTACTTGATCTACAGGGAGTTTCATTTTTCTTCTTTACAAGTCAAGTTTCTTATGCTCAGAAATCCTAAAGAGTTAAAAGTCATAAAATTTCACTACTATTAATGATTTTGAACTTTTTTTTCAATTCTAATGGCGCATACAAAGCTTGAAGAAGCTTGGGAATCTTGGGTAACATACAAAGAAAAATGTGTTTTATATACAAAACATGTATTTTTTATAAACACAGAAACACATTGATTTAACTGTCTTAAAATTTCAATTATTTAGGAAGAAGAAAGAAAGCGTCAAGAGGAAATGGAACGCCAGCGTCGGGAAAGAAGATATATTCTGCCTGATGAACCAGCCATAATTGTACATCCAAACTGGGCTGCGAAAAGTGGGAAGTTTGATTGTAGCATCATGTCTTTGAGTGTACTTTTGGATTACAGATTAGAGGATAATAAAGAACATTCATTTGAGGTAATGTTTTTATTAGAAACCACCTTGGGTCCACACATTTTCATTGTTTTTGTTTTTGTATTTCTTCTGAATTCATGGAAGAAAAAGCAACAATTTTTTGCCAAACCGTTTTAATTAAAAAAATTTTTTTTGGTCTATTACATTACCGTGATAATCTTTGGCATTCCCTGTAAATTGATTGTTGGGATCTAAGTTCCTAATCTGGTTCTAGTTTAGTTGTTCCTGTGACTGTTTCCTAAGTAGTGGGCTGTTCATTTATCACAGCGTCAGTAGGTGATGTATAGCTGTCTGCATTTATTTTTTTAATTATTTATTTGAAAGGCAGAGTTGAAGAGAACAGATGTTCCCCAATGTGGGATGCCATTGCTTCTGAGGCTTAACTGGCTGTGCCACAGCACTGGCCCCATGATTATTATTTTTATTTTAGCTAGGATGCCTTTTAACTTTTGATCATTGAGTTGTAAGAGAAAATGCTGATATCTGTCTTTTCATTGTGAATCTACTTGTACCATTGTTTCAAGATTTTATTACTTTTCAGAAGGCATAGCTACAGAGGGGAAAAAGGAAAGATCAATCTTCCATCTGCTAGCTTACACTCCAGCTAGCCACAAGGACTGGAGACTATGCCAGGCTGAAACCAGTACATTCTAGATCTCCTCCATGGATGTAGGGGCCCCAGGCACATTAGCAGAGAGCTAATTTGCAGCCAGAGGTGCCAGGACTCCAAACTGTCACCCATGTGTAATGTTACCAGTGTAGAAGGTTGGATATTAGTAGTAGTCGTAGTATTAGTATTGGAAAGATAGATTTACAGAGAGGAGTCAGAAAAATCTTCCATCCACTGGTTCATTCTCCAGATGGCCACAATGGCTGGAGCTAAGCCAATCCAAAGCCAAAAGATTTTTCTGAATCCCATGCAGGTGCAAGGCCCCAAGGCTCTGAGCCATCCAGGGAGCCTGGTGGGAAGTGGAGCAGCTGGGACACAAGAATTCATATGGGATCACGATGCTTGGAGGTCGAGGATTAACCATTTGAGCCAATGTGCCAGCCCCCAATTGCTTCATTCCGTGAATAAAATTAGGTGTCCAAAAATATTGAGTAGTTTTTGTAGTTACTGTCCTGTACAAAATCATACCTGTACAAGGGATGGCTCCGTGGTATAGTAGTTTAAGTTTCTGTCTGTGGTGCCAGTATTACATATGGGCACTGTTTTGGGTCCTGGCAGCAGAGCTGGGCCTCAGTCCTTGTGTCCTGCATTCATGCAAGAGCCCCAGAAACAGCTTTCCCAACTCTGGCTTTGAACTGGCCTGCCTCTATTTGCTGTGGCCATCTGAGGCATGAACCAGCAGATGGGAAATGTTTCTCTGTCTCTCCTTTCTCTGTGCAACTCTGCCTCTCAAGTAAAAATAAATAACAAGCTCATCTAAAAAACACACATACAGCTTGATAGAATTCAGTTACTTACGGACTTAGCCCACTTTTTAATTTTTTTTAAAGGCTTAATCTTTTTTGGAAAGGCAGATTTACCGAGAGAAAGAGCAACAGGGACAGAGATCAGGTTCACTCCCCAAATGGTCACAGTGGCCGAGCTGAGCTCGGAGCCTCCTCTGGGTCTCCCACAGGGAAGCAGGATCCCAAGCATTTGAGCCAATCTTCTCTGCTTTTCCAAGGCATCAGCTGGGACTGTAACCAGTGCCCATATGGGTTGCTGGCATTGCAAGGTGGAGGGTCAGCCCATAATTGTTGGTTGTAATGGGTTTTTATTTGTTAAATTGTTTCATTGATCCAATATTTCCATTGGAATTGGTGTCTTCTACAGGTTTCATTGTTTGCAGAACTTTTCAATGAAATGCTTCAAAGAGATTTTGGTGTTAGAATATATAAATCATTACTGTCTCTTCCTGAGAAAGAGGACAAAAAAGAGAAGGATAAGAAAAGCAAAAAAGAGGATCGAAAAGAAAAAAGAGAAGAAAGAGATGATGAGACTGATGAGCCAAAAGCAAAGCAGAGGAGATCAGACGATAAAGAGAAAAAGGAAGATAGAGACGAAAGGAAGGTCTGTTGTGATTTCCATGATTTGACACCCTGGTGTAGGATTGAGTTGCAGTTTTCAATGATTATTGTTATTATAAGAATTTCTTAGGTTGAAGTTGTTTTAAGACAGATTAATATACCTCATGTTTTCTAGTGTTAGTCATTTAATGTTTGTTAAATACCTTGCTTAATTTTAAGGCATTTTAAATTACAGAAGGAAGATAAAAGGAAAGATGATTCCAAGGATGACGATGAAACTGAAGAGGACAATAATCAGGATGAATATGACCCG